TTTTTTTTTTTTGAGATAAGAGTGTCACTTTATAGCCCTGGGTAGAGTGCCGTAGCATCACTGTTCACAACAACCTCTAACTCCTGGGCTTAGGCGATTCTCTTGCCTCAGCCTCCCGAATAGCTTGGACTACAGGCTCCCACCATAGTGCCCGCCTATTTTTTGTTACAGTTTGGCCGGGGCCAGGTTTGAACCTGCCACCCTCAGTATATGGAGCCAGCACCACTGAGCCACAGGCGCTGCCCATATTTCTAGTTATTAAAAGTAAAAATCTCACAAACTTAGAATTTGTGCTAATTTAATTATGTGAAATATTAAGCATGACCCCGTGCATTCACATGAGAGCGAGCAATGGGTGACAAGGAGAAAAACCCTGTGCACAACAGCAGAATTCACTGAGAAGCCCCATGCACACAGCGGGGAGCATAGCACTGAGGACAAACTCTGGAGAATACATTCTATTGTAAGTTGTTCCCTCAGGGAAACCTATACTAAATATTCACTCTCCTTTCACTTTTAAAGTAAAAAAAGTTGATATAATCTCCATGTGAAAGAAAATGTTAAATGGTTTTAGTTTCATACATCAATTTATCTGAGATGTTTCTGCTGGACTGAACCCAAGACCTCTGTAAATATTACATGTCATTTGCCAACAGGAAAAATTAAGATCTTGTTATAGTAAATCACACTAGTGTTCTCGGAAGATGATGTCAACAAGCACTTTTTTTTAAATAGTCATTTTTTTTAACAGTTTAATCACCCTCTCACTGTTATATCTGTGAAACAGTAAAAAGGTCAGCAACCTAATTAACAAATTAAAGCCCAAATATATCCTTAGGTAATGAAACTAAAAGAACAATGCATACTTTTAGAATGCTACACAAGCCTTAAAACTAAAGTTCCACTAAAATATCAGGCCAAAGGAATGCTATTTCCTCATGTTGTAATCACAGAAAAACACAAAGCCAAAGGCTACTCACATCTATTGCACAACTGGAAATAGTCCTGCAGTGAGAATCCATAAATTCAGGAAGGGTGGCATCCCAGGCCTGGGAGTTCCATCACCCTGCATTGTGCCATCCAAGACCAATGCACAGCTTTGGAGAATTACTACACCTAGTAATTTTAAGTTTAAGTTTTAAGAATATTTGATATCCTGTCCTTGAGACTTTGCCTTGGAATTCACAGTCACTTCCTTTCAATGTTTAAAATCTACAACAGGTATCATGCCAACACAGAAACAGCATAAAAACACAGACCCAGTCCTTGGAGCGAGGAGGGGTATGGTACTACCTACCTGAATGGTACCAGAGGCCCTTCAAGGCCTGGCCCTAGGCACTGGCCTGGCTTCTAGTCTAACATCATTCTGTACACAGTCAGCAAAAGCAAGCAACACTCTGAATTCACTGATGAAAATTCTTTTTACTCTTGCTACAACACTAAAATAAGAAACTGATACTTGGAAAAACTGTATAGGTATTTAGAACCAGCTACTAATGTTGGCTGAACCAGTTATTTTCTTCTTAGGAATGATTAAAAAAAACCAGATATATCAGTAGATATTTATTTTAATTTTTCTATTAAGATTAATAAAAATTAAAAGTATACATTTAACTTTTTTATTCAGAAAAGACTCTGTAGAAAAAAACTGAGAGTTTCTGGTGTTAACTAAAACACGTCATCTCAAAATGACTGAAAAGATGGCTAATACAGGTATATATGTTTCAGGGGTGAAACTTTCAAAGCCTGTTTCATGAGAAACTGTGACCTCAGATTTTACATCCTTTGGCAAAGATAACAAAGGGCACTGCCAGCAGGGCTCAGTGTTGGAGGGACAGATGGCAGCCCACTTCACCTGGGGTCACAAGTCACAGGTCTTCTTTACCTGCTCCATTACTATCTGTCAGCCCAGAATCTGTGTGAACTGATCCCTACAGACAAAATTTTTGACTTCTGTATTTAAAAAATCCCAAAAGGTACATGTTTTCTCTACTTCCAAAGGAACTTCTGGAATGAGACAAAGTGAGTGTCTCATAACCTGTGGACCATACAAAGTCCCAAGGCCCAAGTACTTCATCCTCACTAAGTCTATGGTTCTATTCCCCTTTCTTATCTTTTAAAAGGATTCAGTAAAGGAAGAAAAATGGAAGATAGTTCAAAAACCAAACCACTCTTCCACAGGAAATATTATTTCTCAACTATCAAGAACATAGGCTTTTTCTACAGGCATCATGTGCTCCTAATTCTTGTTGGAGTGAACGCAGAAATGCAATACCCACACAGAGCTGTGCTTTATAACCTGGATGCAAATTAAGACGCCTTCTGATGAACAGTTCCCTCCACTCTTACCCTCAGACACTATGTGTTCTGAGAAACAAGGCCAAAGCTCAAGAAATGACTAGCGCAAGCTGTGGCCTGAGCTGACGACACAGATTAGCTTCCTCTTTCAATACTGTCACAGTAAGCCTTTTTTTTTATTGCCCTGGGTAGAGTGCTGTGGCATCACACAGCTCACAGCAACCTCCAACTCCTGGGCTTAGGCGATTCTCTTGCCTCAGCCTCCAGAGTAGCTGGGACTACAAGCGCCCACCATATAACACCCGACTATTTTTTGATTGCAGTTTGGCCGGGGCTGGGTTTGAACCCACCACCCTTGGTATATAGGGCCAGCACCCTACCCACTGAGTCACAGGAACTAACCAGTAAGCTCTTTTTTGGGGGTAGTTTTTGGCTGGGGCCAGATACCGAATAGCTTGGACTACAGGTATATGGGGTCAACGCCACCTCGGGTATATGGGGCCAACGCCCTACTCCTTTGAGCCACAGGCGCCACCCTAAGCTTTTTTTTTTTAAACCCCACAGGTTTCACCAAATTTATCATTATGTAAGGATGTCTTCTTTGGAAAGTTTTCCAGGACAAACAGAAGGAGGATTCACACCCATCATAACATCCCCACAGGTCACACCATGCCAGAGGTCTAGAAAACCTAAACACTGGGTGAGGACAGGACCAATACTTCAGTGCTGCATTAGCAGCTGCCTTTTCCCCTTACATTTTCCTTTCCAACCAGAGAAGATCAGTAAGTTTTCAAATAATGACATCCACACCAATATGGTACTTCCCTGCCAAGAACTCAGAGCATTCTACAGATATGCCACCCTCTTCAACCCTCCAACTAAAACAGTTGAGGAAAAGTATTATGAACTTTTTTTCATAAATTGAGCAAAGCTCAAAACAAAACCCAAGGCTAAGGCGCCAGCCACATACACCTGAGCTGGCGGGTTCGAATCCAGCCCAGCCCGCCAAACAACAATGAAGTCTGCAACCGAAAAAAAAAAAATAGCGTTGTGGCAGGCGCCTATATTCCCAGCTACTTGGGAGACAGAGGCAGGAGAATCAGTTGAGCCCAGGAATTGGAGGTTGCTGTGAGCTGTGATGCCACAGCTCTCTACCCAGGGCAACAGCTTGAGGCTCTGTCTCAAAACAATAACAACAAAAAAAACCCCAAGTCACCATAAACTTTACCACATGCATAGAGAAGAAACACACCCTCAATACAAACAGAATATTAACATTTCTATTGTTGGCTCTGTAAAGAAAATTCTATTTGCAGAGAAGTTTCTCACTGACCATACGACCAGGCAGAACCCACTATCAAGGCTTACTCAGTGCTGGCCACTTGTCAGGTCTGTGCTACACATTGTACCTGGGGTACCTCTCCACATCTTCAAGACCCTGTGAAGTGGACATTGTCACACCCACTTTACTGTCACTCAGGGAAATAAAGCCATCAGTGTAAGATAACACAGTAGAGAAGCACAAGACAGGAAACAAAGGCAGGTTTGTGCAATTTGACAAACTACTGACTCCTACGTTGCTCCCTCTCTCTAGCACATCCAAGGTAGTACCTCTTCCACCCTGC